ATATATTCCATACTATTTGTTTTATTTAAAAAAAAAAAAAATAATAAAGCCTATATATATATGCATAGAAAAAAGTTGTTCAAAATGATACTCTTAACAATATACTCCAAGGTCATCGAAATCGGAGTTGTTTCGGCAACGTTCACCTTTTTAATCAAACGTGGGACCAGATTGTATTTTAACAATAATTCCACGTAAACAGACTCATTAATTCATGCATACGACTAACGTAGAAAACCAATGACGATACACAGTAATGAAAAAAAAAAGCCATATCGACTGCATCGCAACCGTAACCTATGCTTCGCCATTTCCGTGTCTGTGAAGGCCCCGGTTGTGTGGTTGATCCAATTAAACCAATCAAATTACTCCGCTATCGGTCGCATTCGACCTCTTTCGACTGGGCAGTAAATCGCGGAGCTGCTGCGACGAATGTTCTCGTTCGGTTTTTGTTTCGCTTCGTATCGGGATGTATTTAATCGAGGACCAGTTTCCTCCTACGTGCACGCCAGGAAACGAATCGCAAGAGTGTCGATCTCTCGTTTGGAAAGGTCCTAGGTTCACGGCTGAGAAGGAGTTTTTCCAGGCGCATAGATGGCCCGAGGTGAGGACCCTTGAACTTCTACGGTGTAATTGAGCGGTTCTGGTCTTAAATGTGAATTATCTAGCTGATGGAAGAACCAACCGGAAGAAAACCACGAATTTTTACACATTCGATGGACGGAGGATTTTTCGGTTAACCGGATAATTTTGTGTTAATAAGTTTTAGTGGCCGCTCTACCTCAAAGCTTGCTTATTCGGAAATTTAAAAAAAAAAAAAAAATAGAAGTATCAGGTTGTCCGAAAAGTTTCTTTCGCTTGATTAATAAGTAATACGTGCACAATATTTTATGTTTTATGTTGCATTACTGAATTGTGCACGATTCATTTTGCTCCATCACCGTTACAACATGAATATCTATGAAATTAGATTGTCTATTTATATAAACACGACCATATAAAATACTTGAGTGCAACTCGCGAAAGAAACTGTCGGTACAACCTAATATTTTTTAATACCATATTAAACTGTTTGAGGGTTAACGAACTGCATTAACACTTCAATGGCCGCACGTATACGCGGTGAAACGTCGCCAGGACCGGCAATATCTTTTAAGGATCAATATAAAAGAACTTTATAAACAAACATACACAAAAAACAAAACAATAACAACATATTTAATACTTTACCTTTGTGTGATAATTATTAAAGCAATCGCCAACATGTAACTGTACTTGGCAAGTCTTACATATAAAATACGTAGGATTTCTAATTTTATTCGCATAGCAAACACGACAATCCCTTCGTACACCCTTTTCTTTTTCTTTTTTTTTTTTTTTATTACCCGGACGGCATGGTGTTAATTTGAAAAATCTAAAATTGAAAACAGGCAATATAACAATAATTACCTAACATCAAAGAATAAGAATAAGAAACATCTCGAGTTGTTGGTAGATACCAGAAAAAAAGGCCTCGAGTGCAAAGGGTTAAACACCTGAGAAATTTGGTCTAATTATTTAAAAAGAGAGAGAATTAGATAAAAAGAGGTCGCAAGCAGATAATTAAGATATACTTGTTGCGTCTTGCGACAAGACAGTTAATCTGATCAGAATAGATTTCGAGGTTCTTGGTGATTGCTTAATTAGCCAGGAGAACTTCTCCTTTCATTAGTCATCCTTTCTCTCGTGCGAGATATAATCCTCTCCGTGAGTCGGGCATCTTTAACCATCAAGGGAACCTTTCGTTCATTGTATCCTTTTCACACTTGAACTTTCGTCCGAATAATCAGTCGCACAGTCTTGACTTTCCCCTTAAAGTCAGAGGTGCGATCCGACGATGATTTCAACTCCCTTAGAAACAATAGAGGAAGAGTCTGGCTCGTCTCCAACGGATCTTCATCATCTCGTGGCTTTCTTCGCTCGCGTGAGAGAGGACCGAGCGCCCGATAATTGGTCATTTAGGTTGTTCTTCCATCGTTCTTCGTCACGGCGCAGTCGATACATTGTCATCGCCGTGACGGGCAGCTGCATCACAAAACACGTTCACCGTTTACAGACACACGCGTAGATCCAAGATAGAATTCAGAGTCCATGATTCAACGTATTATTCACAAATATGTATTATTAATCCTTGCTCGAAGTAGGTGTAAATATTTTTTAATGTGTTATATAGCCGTGAAGATTCACTGGTAGAAAGAATACTGGTTTATAGGTCTCCAAAAACGGTGCAATGTTTATTCGAACATTTCTTCGATATCTCTTACCATTTTCGAGTTATGAACGCATAAATAAATGGGGCGGTTCGGAGAAAAGGGGTAGTTTCTCCTTCAAAGTGACAAACGACCAACGAATTACACCTGGCTTCTTAGATAGGTCTATCGTTATTAAATATTCGTGCCAAGTATCGCTTCGCAAGCTTCCCTTGCAAGTGTACAAATAAATGGTATCTACCATTTAATTTACATTGATATTTGAACGGGTTAGGTGCCATGCAAATTTGAGAATATTCCCTAACACCTTGGTGTTTGAAATTCGTGGTTTTGGTGTGACTGTGATGAGCGCTGACTGTCCGTGTGTGTGTGTGTGTGTGTGTGTGTGTGTGTGTGTGTGTGTGTGTGCGCGTGCGCGTGCGTGCGTGCGTGCGTGCGTGCGTGCGTGCGTGCGTGCGTGCGTGCGTGCGTGCGTGCGTGCGTGCGTGCGTGCGTGCGTGCGTGCGTGCGTGATCGCGTGTGTTTTTCAAAACCAACGATCGACTCGTGGTTCAGTTAGTCTTGTACGAGTCCTGTAACGCGCCGAACGACTAAATTTCAAATACATTCAAATCTTTCATTCGTGCGGTAATATTAAACCACCTTTTTGTTTGTTTTCTTTTGTGCTATAACCCTAAAAGAACGATATATATATATCTTTATAAGAGCTTATATACACCTAAATACTACAATTTAATTTACTAATATATATATATATATATATAT